AGCCAAGGGTCCAAAAGTCATTATCAACCCTATAGAATAACTAGAAAGTCAGATGTGGGACCAAATACAAGATTCATGGTGTGGATTTCTACAGCTTATATTATGTGCAGTTGGTGAGATTAATATATCATTAAGGTCTTTCCAATCTTAAAAAAAGATCAGTCAAAGCTTCTATAAAAAGTTTTGCCAAAGCAAAATTTAAATATTATTATTTCATAGAAGGCTCTATTATGAAAGCTTTAATCTTATGTCTTTATTTATTACCTGCTAGCACAGGAAGGATAAGTATTTCAAAGAATTATATGGGATTTTAACATAAATCTTGTCAAAATTAATGACAATTTTACTGTTAAAACTTGTCAAAACATGGTAGCACAGAAGCCCAAGTGTCCAGTTCCCACAGGAAAGTTTACCTTTTCTCTTAGTTGTTACCTAGTTTTGTTTCTGTAGGCAGGAAACCTCCTGAACTGTAATTGCAGCCATTACATAGGTCATGTTTTGTATTGATTGTCCTGTTAGAAAGCAAAGGATAAAATGAGGTTGTGACCATGCTCTACAAAGAGCATGAATTTCTTATCATCCTTGGTATTGCCAGTTTCTGAATCGGAATGCCTGCTTGTCCCTCCTAACTGAAAAGGATGAAGTCTAGCCAATAACAAGTCTGAGAGCAATGAAGTGGCCTAGTTCATTATGGGGCTCATTTCTGTGCTTTTCATGTATGTACTGATGCTCTCCTGCATTTGGGAATAAAAAGTCTGACAATTTTTCTTGTGTCCAATTCAATTAAGAATTAGCAAACTCATTGAGCTGTACTTTACGGTTTGCTAGGTTCCCTTAGACCAGTAACTTCACTACTATAGGACCTGGTTTCTTCTTCCCCCAAATGCTAGTTGGTGGGATCTGAATTCAGGATGTCAACAAAGGATGTTCAGCATTGAGTTCTGATCATTACCTCTGTGAATGCTGTTGAAGTTAAAAATATTAGCAGAATTATTAACACATGAAAAGTATTAAAGCTAATTTAAGAGTGAGTAGACTAAGTCTTCTAGCAACCTAAACTTACAGCCTGTGAAAAAAATGTTTCTTTTCAAGAGATCTTTACTAGTTTAGTCACATGAAATCAATGTAAACCACAATCTAATGAGCCCATCTACCACCTTTGTGAAAGCTCAGCCTGGCTGCTTAGTGCATGAGACCCCAAAGGGTGGGACAGTTGGGAAGTTGCAGGGGAGGCTGTGAACACAGTTAGTGTTTATGCTGCACCTCCCAGTCTGCACCCAGCAGACTTGCAGCACAATACTTGTCAAACCCACAATGGAGGCTGAAGATGCTCTCCATGGTGTGCCTGATGCCATAAGCTACACAGCTTTGCGTGCAGTCAAGAGTACGCAGAGTAACTGTCCACAGGCTGGCTGTAGACGGTCATCAGGCTGGAAAGCAAGTGCACCATGGTATGCATTGCACTAATGGAGGTTCTTGTTCCTGCTCATGAAGTGTTGTGTGGACATAGCCATTTCACTACCCTAATGGATTTTACTCCCACATCACTTGTCTGCTCCATTCAGGCCCATCTTGGACTTCTTTGCCCTAAATTCATCCTTGCAAAGAAGAAAATAAAAAAGCATGCAGGTAGACCAGATAAGCAGAAGTTACAGAAGTTATAGTTAAGAACTATCTGAAAGAGAAAGCCAAGAACTTCAACAGAAGTATTAAAAAAACCCAGTGTCTTGCAAGTACTTAAGTGATTCACTGTTTTAAAGGGGTCTTCATGTGGATTAGAATAAGAATATTTAAATTTGGATTTATGCTGCCTGCTTATCTTGAACAGCTCAGGCTTTAACAAAGCAAAATATATTTTTTAGCCTTAAATCCTCAAATATGACTCACCTGGGCTACTATGAGGCACTGGTGAGTCTCACTCTGCTAGTCTTTCCATTATTTATTTAGATAATTTATTTAGAGCATCTAACTGCAAACTTCAGCATATATCAAAGTAGAAATAACTTCTCTTTTACCATTCAACCAGCAGTTGACCCCAGGATGTCTTTTTCTCCTCATCTCTTTGTTACGAAAATTGTTCAGCAAAGAGACACCAATATGTAGCTGAACAATTTTCTGTCCCAAAGGGCTCTGAGAGACAGGAGGGAGAATTCAGTTTTCCAGACCAGCTATCCAATGGCCTGTTGACTGTACCACATTGCCAACTAGGACAGTAGCTGTCTCCCAGAAGATACTGACCTTTCCTTGGCAATTAAAATTGAACCACTGTGCAATATGTAAAAAATTGTTCACCTAGAGTATTAATCAAAGTATCATTTAATTGCATGTTTAGTTCACATGATTTCTTACATTATCAAGCTGCTTTGGTTAGTTAATGTATCTAATCCCGTAGAGTGCTCTGGTATTACTTACCTGCTAAGCCTCAATTTGCAAACTGCAATACATACATAGCCTACGTATCTGTCACTTAGAGCAGAACAACCTGGGAAAATTATACAGGTTTCTGCTCATTTTCCTATGGAAGCAAATCAAAAGTACCAGCCGTTAATGCCCCACATATTTTAAATATTCTAAATAACCACACGCTTTTAGGGGACAAAAGGTGAATTTCCTTAAAGTCAGAATCTCTCCCATCTTGTCCATCAGGGAGGAAAGGACAGAAAGGTTCCCTTGGCTGAGGCTCTAAGATGAGCTGGCTAGGTTCCATTAAGCACTGTTTGTTAGGCTCTGTAGTCCAAAATATGTGAAGTAAACCAGAAGCCAGGCCTCAAGGCAGTATGAAGGAAAATCAAGATGCAGGAATGAGGTTTCTTAAACCACACTGAGCATCAGCTAATTTTCTCTAGTGTGGCAGAGGTTTTAATCCAGACTGATGCTTATATATAGATCTCATATCAGCTGCGCTTCTATTTTTTTTTTTCCTGTGATAGAACATAAATTGTATCTGACAGTGGGCTAGAAAAAGGCTGTTTATTTTAACAGGTCCCAGCTACGATTCAGTGCAAGCTCTGTTGTGACATACTCTAGTACAAGCCAAGACAGACACCAGAATCCAGGAGAAAGAACAAGAAAAATGAATTGTTACCTTCCAAGACGTCAGTGTAAGTCTGCCTAAAGACATTTATTTTAAATGTGCAGATCCAGCTAAAGCAATACCCATCAAGCCTGAGCATTGTAGGAAAAGCACAGTTTCAGACTTGCCAGGCAGTCCAGATTAAAGTAGATTCTCTTAATTAATGATCTATATACTTTTAAGTAGGAATACTACTGTTGCACAAGTCTTTTAGCATCAGGCCCACCACAGCAAGATAGAATACTCATGTTCTAAGTAAAGTGAGTCATGTAAGACAAATTAAGGAATCTTTTCAAATTATTGTCATCTGCAAAACAATTACTTTTCCAGAAAAAGAAATCTCAAAAAGAGGCAAGATACACTGCTGTCAGTTCTGCAACAAGGAACTGGTAGTTTCAGAAGTTAGATTTTTAAACAAGTCCTGATTGAACTTGCTTGGTAGCCTGGGGCAGGGGGAGACACGGGACTGTAGCAGTGGCCTCTGTGATAAGTCACTATGAGGTGTCCTCATGTTGCAAAGAGCCAGTTCCAGCTGGCTCCATGATGGACCTGCCACTGGCCAAAGCTGGGGCCTGTCAGCAAAGCTGGTGGTATCTCTCTGATAACATATTTAAGAAAGAGTAAAAAATGCTGTGCGCCAACTTCGAGAAATGAGTGAGAAAATGCAAGAAACGGCCCTGCAAACAACAAGATCAGCAAAGAAGGAAAGGGAGGAGGTGCTCCAGGTGCTGGAACAGAGATTCCCCTGCAGCCTGTGGAGAAGATCATGGTGAGGCAGGCTGTCCCCCTGCAGTTCACGAAGGTCCATGGTGGAGCAGATGTCCACCTGCAGCCTGTGGTGGACCCCGTGCCAGAGCAGGTGGCTGTGCCCTGAAGCTGGTGGAGAGCCTGTGCTGGAGCAGGTTCCTGGCAGGAGATGCAGTCTGTGGAGAATAGTCCAGGCTGGAGCAGGTTTGCTGGCTGGACTTGTAGCCTGTGGGGACCCGCAGTGGAGTAGTTTGTTCCTAAAAGGCTGCACCCCATGGAAAGGACCCAGGCTGGAGTAGTTTGTGAAGGACTGTCTCCCATGGGTGAGACCCCAGACTGGAGCAGGGGAACAGTGTGAGGAGGAAGGAGTGGCAGAGATTAAGTGTTCTGAACTGACTACAACCCCCTGTCCCCATTCCCCTGCTCCACTCAGTGGTAGGGAGGTAGAGGAGCTGGGATTGAAGTTGTGCCCAGGAAGAAGGGGGCATGGGAGAAGGTGGTTTTAGTTTTGTTGTTGTTTCTCACTATTGCTATTTTTAATTGGCAATAAATTAAATTAATTTAGAGTCTGTTTAGCCCGTGACAATAATTGGTGAGCAATCTCCCTGTCCTTATTTTGACAAGGAGCTTTTTCATCTATTTTTTGCCCCATCTTGCTGAGGAGTGAGAGCGCGGCAGGGTGGGCACGTGGCAGCCAGGCCTACCCACCACAGAACGATACTGTTCACCCATTTCCAGATGTAAATCTAACAGATACATTGTACAGTCTTGCAGAGGACGTGCCATGCACAGGATGTTCTTTTTCTACCACTACTACATGCTTTACAGTACAAATTCCCTAATAAGGGTTTCTCCCCCACACTGCCTACCTCATTTTTGACCAAATCAGTTTGTTTTCCTGCATGATGATCATTCTAGAATCATATTGTTATTTACACATGAAAATAAATTTTTTAAAAGTAGGTAATTCTGAATGTGAAATTCAGCCCTGCTGGCAACAGCGCAGGCTCTACAATCACACTTAAGATGCAATAAATTATCTTTTGTTTTTTGGGGTTTTTTTGTTTTTCCCGAGATGAGTTCAACTTGAAACCTGACATTTCTAAACCTATGGTCCCTTTTATCATCTTAGAGAGGCAGTAAACAAGTTCAATTAAAACCAAACTTAAAACAAGACATCATGACTCAAGGAAAAAAATTTATTTTAGGGCTAACAAGTTGATAATAAATAAAGGAATATAATAATGTAGTAACAGATGTTCTCATGCACTTAACACATACAATAACGCTGGCTTACACTGCTGTTTGGACAAATTGAGAAGAAGTATTTGGCAATATTATAAGTTTGAATAGTTTAGAGATTATAGAACAGGAAATCCTCTCCGCTGTTTTTACATTTCTTTTATACAAATTCAAATAAATATTAATACATCTATTTTTCCTCAATTTTCTGTTCACTTTTAACATGCCCGATAAATAAGCCACAGTATATGCAATTGCCAAGAAAATGTATGAATTATACTTATTAATATTCCTAAAAATGTATCATATGTATGTCACATTGTGCAAGCTCTTTAGGTAAAATTAGATTTTAGGAAAAACTGCAGAAAATTTAAACTCATTAAAACATATTCAGTGCAAAGGCCAGTCTGGTCCACACATTAGGGTTCTGTAATGTAAGCCAATATAATTTAAATAATAAAACATGCCTATATGATTCAGAGGAATATGTTTTATGTTTTAAAGATCTGACATCTAATATGCAGATTCTGCAATATCAGACATTTTTCAAATCTTCATGAGATGTCAAAATAATGTTAAGACTTTATAAGTAGGCTTTCTTTTTTTCTTTATTTAGGATAACTCACATTAACAGTACTACAGTGGCCAAAAAAGACAAACTATTATAATAGAAATCAATCTGATTAAAAAATTAAATATTCCAATTAACACTGAAAAAGTGTTTGTCATCATTATTTACAATTCATCAATAATACCAGTGTATAACTTCACACAGTCAAAGGATACCACTCTCCAAGCAAATACCAGTTCCTGTATCTCCATTCAAGCACTCGGTCGTAGGATGTTTCTGCGCAACGTATCAGTTTAAAGAAGGAGATCGATCTGTGGCCCAGAGTAATTCTATATACGGCCATTTGGTTTGCAAGCAGCGTTTTACAGGAGTGTCATCGGTCTGTAGCATTGGTTCTTCAAAACCCATAACGACTGCCGTGCCTTCTACATACATGACCTGGCAAAATAAAAACAATTGTGTCAGCCTATGTTTGTTTTAAAAGATGGTTATTTTCACTGGGATAGAAGAGAATTTGTTATGACACATTTCTTTTTACTACAAAAATCAAATCAATGAAGTTTTATATACTTTTTCTTTTAAGAAAATGAAATGAGGTATGAAATCGAAAAAACCTAATCTCTTAGATTTAAGTGCTGGAAAATCCTGATCAGGTCATACTCATTTGTTTACTTCAACAGACAGTAAGGGCCAAAACTGGGGGAAAAAATCTAGGAAATGCAATGCAAAAATTTTGTGAGAGTAGATCTTCTACTACTGTTGCACCTGCAAAGTTTGATATTGTTATTTTTATAAGGACGGTGTTCCTTAGACTTAATTTTATGGAATTAATTTTCCATAAAATGGAACCTCTTTTGCAAATCAGCTCTATCCATAAAACAGTATTTCAAATGCCATAAGCAGAATACCCTGAAAACAAAAATTTGTTTAAATTTTCATTCTGTATATATGTTCAGCAGTAAAGATAAATGCATCTTTGAATGCCTTTGCCTACATTTTGGGGTATGAAGCTGCTGGAGATTTCATGGGGATAATTTTAAGGACTTAACACCAAGCTATTCCAAAGACTGAGTATATACAGTTTGTCGAAGAGTCTTCTTCCTTGAAGCAGGTTTTGTTCCCTGAGTCTATTAATGCTTTATATTCTTCTACCCTAAATGCTAATTCAGGAACTAACTCAGAAGCAGTCACAGTGTGTCACATATACCCCTCCTTCCAAGAAAGCTGAAAATTAAATAGGTAATTTTTGTCCCTCACAAAGTGATTACAAAAAATACTGGTTTTTGATGCAAGTCTGGAGTACTAAAATATTTCACAGAAAATTCCAAATATCTCAATTCAGATGTAGGGTTACTCACAGAAGTTGCCGTTCGTCTGTGTTACATCTCCATTGTCCTTTACAGTTCAGATCCCCGTTCTCACGGATAAGCATGAGAAGTGCTCCATTCAAAACACAGAGCTTAAGAGATGTGGTCTAGCCAACACAGTATACTAGCTAAAATATGATAATGAGCACAAAGCAGTTTCCAATTCCAAATATAGAATTTTGGAAGAAAATTACTGAAATAATAGTTTTGTAAAAAGTCTGTTTCATGTTAAAGTATTTTGCCTATAATTATCGTCAGTTTTACAATTTAACACAGGGAGTCAGTTTTGCATAGTAATGGTTATTAGAGCTAGAATTATGTTTCTTAAATCTTACCTTCTCATTATAGTTAGATTGCTTCAGGCCATTGTAGTGGTAAACAGTGAATGACTCTGAAACCCTAGAGTCCTAGTAGAAAAGAGACAGTTAATTTCATGTAACATATAGACTGTGCCTTGACAGTCTCTTCTCTTTACAACTAGACAGATGCATTTAAACAGGAAGACTCAAGGAAATTGTAAAAAAGAATTTCTTTTAGGTGACATCATCTAGAAGATTTCGTCCATTTTAACTTTCTCATCAGAAATAATAAGAAGATGTCAGTAAATTAATGGGCAACGCCCCCAAGAACAAGTCATGATTTTCTGCGTTCATCTGCACGCTTCAAGCTACAACTTCAGCACTGAACATGTAGAAACTGTCCTAATTTTTCAAGTGAGACGCCTTACATAGTAGCAACATTCATGTGTATTTATGACTGCTTGGATGCTACTAAGTTAAATATTTACTGAGGACCAGATACAATCTCCCGCCTTCTATTTCAGAGCTAGAGAGTAATTTACGCCCACGCCTGCCTAACTGTAAACTAACTGTGAAGACACCTGTTCAGCTCAGGCCTAACAGCAGATGTATGCAGGTGTCAACCTTTACTATTCCAGGCTTTTAAATGCTTTAGTCCTAAAAGGACTGAAAAGCTTTACTTTCACTGAGCCAGGAAACACAAATCAGGTGTAATATCATCTCTTTTATGCCTACTGGACCAGGCCCCAAACAAAAGCTTATCCTTTTTTTAAGTACATGGAGTAAAGGCTGAAACGATAAGAAACTTGCTCAAGTTACAGTACATCCATCAGATTACAAAAAGTTCTCATTCATTTTTCTCCTCTTAAATGATTCTAAAACCTTATCTCTGTATGAGTCTCACAGCAACCCAGGCTATTCAGTGGAGGAAGGGTGGTGAAAAGGAAGGTAAGCAGTAACTCAGACTTGCTTCACAGAGATAAATAAAAACCAAGCTTTGCTGGGAAGGAAAGAAGACATTTATTCTTTTCCCTGATGAAGGTATGCTCACCCTGAAGGAAAAGTGCTGCTTTCCAGTTTCTGTCCCATGGATGTTAAGAATTTTGTGCAGTAA